TGAATGCCAGCTCAGTGGTCTACATGTTAAGCGTTTACATGCGAGATCGATAGGTCCTGGGTTTGAATTCCACGTATGTGATCGTCGATGTGCACTACTGAGAAATCCTATACAAGAACGGAACAACCATTCAATGCTTTCGAGTTTTCAATGGTCGTCTAGCTTAGATCAACTTACGAATTCAACTGATCTCCTAAATTCTAATATATTGATTGAAATGTAAAATATTCAACAGGGAAATATGAAAATTCCGAATTTCTGAACAACTTGTTGATAAATGTGATAAATTTTTATCTGGTATTGTATATTCTCATTACCTATCAATTTTTTATCCAAGTTTTCAGTATAGGGGTTATGGAAATTATTAAGTTAATCATTTCCACTCGACTATCTTCTGATGTATTTGATGGGTAACTTTCTCATACTTGACATAGCTGGATTTGATTGATTATGGCTTCTTATTTCCGGTATCACCTCACAACGTTAGTCACAAGCGTGCACATGTTTAATCACAAAAGAGATCAATGGACATTTTATTTCCATTTTCGTAGTTAATATCAAAGGTCGTTTAACTGAAATTATTCTGTGATGTTAACTATGAAAACAATTATATTAAAGAGTTTCAATTCAGTAAACCAAATGTAATTAGTGATAGTTTAGGACAGAAACTAACTGAATCAAATGTAAGTTCATACTTCATTGTTGATGGAGTACAAATAAATAGAATACATTCAACAACTAATTTCGTTTTGATATCTAATAGATACTTGGAAACATGTAAATGTATAACTTATAAGATTACATATACCCTCATACCATAATTAACACATAAAATGGGATCAAATCCATTTTTAAAATATCACATTTATGAAATATGATATTACTGAATACGATGATATTTTCTCAAATTAAAATCGATATTTGATAATGGCTAGTAGCTTAACCCAAGATGTTCGTTTCATTTCATTTGTGACTCATCACTTGAATGTACCTGCATCTTAGTGTTAATGTTCATATCAAGACACCGATGTAAAATGTGTTGTCCGCCTAACTACTGAGTTGAGGTACATGTTAACATGTGAACATCTCATAAAGACTTCTTTGATTTCATCACTTAGATTTACCATTCTTATTACAATTTAATTAAAAATCATTGTAATATATTTGAGGTAATCTGTTACTATGTAGAAGACATTTTGAATAACATAGAATGAAATAGAGATATTGATCATATTTATATGTGAGTTATAATAATGAATAAATTAATTGTGTGATTTATATATTGTATCATATTTATGAATGACGTATGAGAAGTTACTGAGATCCAAATAAACTTCCGACCAGGAAAATGTTTAGAAGGCTCTTAGAAGTTATGACCTAATATAATGCTGACAAATCTTTCTAGATCTTAGAATTCTCACTTCCTATTTTCGAATATACATTAGGATATTCTTCCAGCGATTATTTTTACGTCCCTGAATAAAAAGTGAATTATTTAAGGAACCCGGTGAGAGTATCATTTATAGACGACCTCTGAGCGACGCTAAAGTGACTTTGGGAATGTCCATCTACTAACTAGGACCAAATGAAAAGTTATAAACCAGTATGAGGAATTAGAATTATGATTTACAGTTGATAGTTAAGGTTAGGATTTAGATTTAGAGTTTTCATCATTAACTGACATAGGCTAGAATGCTAAAACGCTATTTAGTCAAATAGATGAATGAATTTCGTACCAAAATCCAAGATTCGTTAACTTATATCTGCTTGGTTCATCCATAAATTATAGTCTCACCAGGAACCCCATTATTCACTCCATATTTCACCCTGTAAAATTTTTTAATATTTTTGTATCAACTAACCCTATATATGAATAAATGACAAGTGGGTGTATGGAATGAAATAATCATTTCACTGTTGGCTTTCTATTTGGATTTTTCAGTTTCTTTGGTAACATAAATGTATGATAATTCACTAGCATTTCTCATATTGTTTATTACTACGTATAACTCTTTAATAAGGCATATTTATCATTTCCATCGGCTTGAATATTGAAGTTGAATTGTCTGGGAAAACAAAACTAAACTCTATAGTTCATTAATGAGATGAATAGTTCTGAAATGATTTTACTTAGATTACTATAAATGTTTTTTTCCTTGTAACATTCATAGTATATGTAATACAACACAAATCAACTGTTGGTTGACAACTACATATATGGATAATTAATTGATTACCATAATACTTAATTTAGCATATAATCTATATTAAGCAGTATTTTTGATAATAAATCGGCTACACAAAGCGATCACTTTTTAAACACATCTGAGAACACTACCTGGTATGGCTTTTAAGAGGAGAATACAAGACAATTACCAGTTCAATACAGGAGCATTTTATCAACTGTGGTCACACCGCCTCGAAGAAGTCTTCTTTCAAAGAAACTGGATCGAAGGGAGATCGAATCAAAAACTTATGCACTGTTGAAGTATTATTGATTCACCAATTAAAGCTCGAACTCTGTGTTCAAAAATGATAAGTACAACCTCTCATCCTTCTTTGACTTTAATTCCCTTTTTTCAATTATTTCTTCGATTTATTTAAACTGTTGTTTTGTCTGTTTAACTGTAATCAGTATTATTATTATGTTTTAACAATGTCTTAACAACAATTCAGATCTTATTATTATGACCTTTATGTTTTTCATTTTTCTTCTTATCTATCAAGTAGACAATTGTCTTTCATAATCCCTGATTCTTGTTTAACCTCATTTGATAATAAGGATCTCGAATCACTTAATGATACTATCTTTTTCATTCTTTTATAGAAATAAATTTCTCTTTACCATGTAAACGTATGAATTACTATGATTCTTCAGTTTGTTTAGATTGTGTGTAATCCAAGTAATGAGTATTATTTTCAGAATAGGGTTTTGTGGTTATTGTAGTAATTTTTTAATAGTTGAATTCACGAGTTGATTAAAGTTAGACCACCATGGAAAACCTGGAAGCACTGGATGAATAATCATCATCATGTGCTCAATAGTGACTGGTTTCATGAGGTATTTTCTGGAGTTCTTGCGAGAAGCCGTGATCGATGAAGTTCAACCGTGTCTGTTATAGAGACAGTTACTCACTAAAGACAATGATAGACAATTAGATATTAAAACCTTTGGATGCCAGCTCATATGTCTCTAGGCTAAGAGTTCACGCGCAAGACTGAAGATTTTGGGTTGGAATCTCACGTACTGGGTCATGGGTGCGCGCTACTCAAGATCCCCATGCTAGGACGAAACCGTCGTTGTTGTTGTTGTTGTTGTTGACAATAACCAAATTCTGTATCTAAAGATTACTAAATGTGTAATGACCCATAATATTATCGAAATAGATGACTTATTTCAAAATTCACCTCTGTAAACTATGAATTTAGTTAAATGATACTTTTAGGTCATTTATTATCTGCAACTACAAGCTTAACAATTTTATCATTTAGCTCAAATATTTTTCAATATATACAAAGAATTTTAATATACAATAGGGCTGACATTGATAGTCGTTATGAATGACTTTGTAAATTTCAACCCCCGCTTTTTAGTCCGTTAAACTAATACCTGTAGTTTATGAAGATGATTATTTTTTTAAAAGTAGCCAAAAAATCTCTTTTATTTTTATTTAACATTGTACTATAAAATTTCTCTATACCTTCTTCATTTATAATATTGAACTAATCTTATTCATTAATGAACATTTGTTTTAACATTGTCAAATTCTAAGGTTAGCATTTTCATATTTTCTTGAATAATCTAAAGTCATATGATCTATTTATTGTTTTTATCTTTGTATTCACAGCTTGATGAATTTGTTTCATGCATTTTACAATTATTATTTTCAGCGTGGGTTTGTGGAAATTGTTAGGTTTTCGATTGAGATCATGAATCGATGGATGTTAGACCATTATTGAAAACCTGGAAGCACTGGACGGCCGTTTTGTCCTAATATGGGGCTCTTCAGTAATGCGCATCCATGATCCTGCATACGAGACTCGAGCCCAGGACATTCAGTCTCACACGCAAATGCTTGACTTTCAACGGTGTTACTGTCTAACTTCAATCAATACACAAAATTGCGCGACCATCCTCCATTTTCTGAGGTTCATATCTGTCTCTATCTGACACGGATTAGCTCCAGTGGGTGCGCACTGCTAAGGAATCGCATACTAGTACGAAACGGCCATCCGGTGGTTCCAGGTTTTCAATGGTGATCCAACATTCATTGATTCATGATCTCAATCAAAAACAATTATTATTTTATCATACAAATGTACATTGAACCGAGTGAATATAAATTTCAAATGATTTACTTCTCAAATCATCGATAGGAAATTTCAAGCTTGTTTATGCTCTACATATACGTATCCTAACTTGTTTTTCTACAAAAGGACATAATTTTTAATGATAAAATTACAACGCAACTCTACATTTCTTAATATTAGGTTATGAAAATTGTTCGGTTCAATTGAGATCATGAACCAATCAATCTTAGACCATCGTTGATAACCTACTCAGCAATGCTCATCTGCGGTCTGCACGTGGACTTCAAATCTAGAACCTTCGATCTCGCGCGCGAACCCTTAATCTCTAGATTACTAAACCGTCATCCAACAGTATTAATATTTAACTTAAACCAACCCATGATATTGCGTTAATATTTTTTTTCATCAGGATGTATCAGTAAAGAAATTTCAGTATGGAGTCCAACCATGTCAGATGTGAGCCAGTCACCCACTGAACTCAATGGTGGATTCTTAGAATAACCTTTCTGATGTGTTATCGGTAAGATAAAAAAGACTTTTTTACATAATGCTTATCAAAATCAAAAGGAAAAGGGCATAATGAGGATTCGAGTAGATAAGTTTGACAGTACAAACATTTAGTTTTATTCATTTTTTATTCAAAAAGAGAATATCTTAGTTATCTTTCACTATTTCATTTCTCATTTTAGACTTTCTTCTTGTTCCCGATGTGGTATTAAATTAAATAAAAATGATTTAATATTTCAAGTTAATTATGATACTTTATATCATGAATCATGTTTCACTTGTTATAGTTGTGGTCGATTATTAAAATATGGTGATACTTATATATTAGAAAATCAAACTATTCAATGTTCATTACATAATCATACTACTACTAATAATAGTAATCAATCATTTACTATGAATAAAACATTAATATCAACCGATCCAATAACTGAAGCTAATCAATCTTATAATATTCAATCAACTATATCCACATCTCATAATTCATTAAATATAAATAATAAATTTCCTAATTTAATTAATTTTTTACAATCAAATAATTCAATTAATTTATTTGGAGAAGATAATTTTCATAAAAATGTTGAAATAATAAAAAAAAATTATTTTCCAAATTTAACAAAATCCTCTTATCAACAGCAAAACGATTTATCGATTATTTACGATACTACTGTTAATAATAACAGTAGTTTAACTAGTAATAATGAAAATAATCCGCAAAAACTTTTTCCACTTATTCAATTATGTAATACAAATGAAAAAAATTCAATAGAAAATGTAATTATTGATTATTCAGCAGAACAATTAACTCCTTTAATATTATCCAGTTCAAATCATATTGATGATTGTCAAAATTACTTAATGAAACGTAAGTTTTTTGTTTTATAATTTTATTAAGAAAATCTTATCAGATTTATTGATTTATGAACTCAAGTTTTATATTAATATTGAATTAAATTTAACTGAATTTCTCTAATTCTTTGCTGAATGTTCAAATGTACTTAATGAATTGAGATCAATAATTGATTTATATTAGATGACCGTTGAAAACTAGGAAGTAGTACGAGACTTCTTGTGAATTGAGGAGCTACGATTTCACTTCAGGGAATCGAATCTAGCATATTTGGTCTGATATATGGAGGTTTAATTTCTAGATCCATGAGTTGGTATTTAATCAACTCAACATGTGTTTTTGCGAAAATCTTCTACTTCTTGTTGTAAATAACTGTCTTACTTTCGACATGACTGAAATCCACTGTTTGTGGTTTCTTATTAAGGCTAAAAAACTTTTTGTGGATTGTAATTTTATCAATGTATTTTTACGGAATAATTCCACCATCAAAAGTTTGGATTCAAAAATGCTAAATAAGTTAATGCTCTATATCAATTTATTTCTCCAACGTTCATAATCCTAAAAATCTTTTTATTTATCTGTTAGCTACTAACTAACTTAAGTAATGTTGTCAACCTCAGAAAATTTAAAGTTAAATGAATTTTAAATACGACCACAAACATTTTCAGCAAAGTATTAGAAGATCTAGATCTCAAATCAAATCAATCTATTGAAATGGAGTCAGTTATATGAGCCAAATATCAATGACTTCCCTTAACCATAAGAACTTTGGTAGAAATGAAAGTTATACTCATGAGTATAGTATAGGAAGTTTGTGCAAAATTTTCAATTTGTAGTTTGTATCACGAACTGACCGTGGTTAGAGAACTACTGAGGGGCGTAGTAAACCGGACATTTATTTTATGGTAGTATATCCCTCCTCATGAGTTCGCACATACAGCTCCTCCAGTAATCGAATGTAAAAATTCGAAACCTCACGATGAGCTTGATACCCTGGGATTACTGAGAGGATGTTTACTTGTTCACTCTTCAAACTCCAATAATTTACAGATTGAAATCATGAGTCATTTGAAGCTAGACTACCATGGAAAACCAGGAAGCCCAAACTCCTTCCAGTACTTTACATTTAAAAGATACTTGGAAGTACTAGAAGTGTTCAGAAGATCTAAATTATTATAAAAAGATAACAGTGTCACAACAGAAAACTAGATATATATTTATATTTCTGCTCAACTTTCTGTCAAAATAGACTATTCAGATCACTTTGATTTCCGCCGTGATGATTTTAAGACTAATCTTTATGTCTGGAGTAACAGTAAACATTTCAGTGAATGGCAGTTATAAAGTATTCATTTGATGGAGTCAACATTTATATGTAACTCAATAATACAATAAGAACATACTACCTTAATTTACCATATTCCTTGTAAGGACACAATAAAATACTGAAGATCATATTCACTCGATTGGTTATAGTTATCATTGAGTAAATAAATGGATTCCATTTCATACACATTTGGCAAAGCAAGGGCCGCATATGGAACTCGAAACAACCACCAATCAATGTCAAAGTCAGAATCTTCAATATGAACGTCAAGACAGTTCTACTGTACAGAGCTAAAACTTGGGGAACTACTACAACCAGAATGAAAAAAGTAAATATAGTTATAAACAGTTGTCTACACAATATACTCAGTATCCATTGGTAGGATACCATCAACAACAGCTTACTGTGGGAGAGAACTGATCAACTTCCAACTGAGAGGGAACTAGGAAAAGACATTAGAAGTGGATAGGACATACACTGAAGAAATCATCAAACTGTATCAAGAGGCAAGTGCTAACTTGGAATCTTGAAATAAATAGGAAAAGTGAAAGACTAAGGAACGTATTGTAAACGAATTGTAAACGGACGTGAAACGAATGAATAGTAACTATAAACAACTGGAAATAATTGCCCAGAATAGAGTTATTGAACAGCCTATACTTCTCCATGAGAGTTAACAAGCGTAAAGTGTAATGAAATGTTAAATGTTTTAACTATGTATTACAGGTAATGAATTGTAAATAGAAACTATGTTTATATCAAATTACATTTTATATTTATTTAAGTTTATAAAGTTCCATTGTTTAAAATGAAATAAAATGGTCAGATTAATATCAACACTCAATATTTTTCTTGTATTCTACATTATGACGCTTTAATATTTCATGTAAAGATGAAAATTTTTCTTCAATTTACAATCATAAACTCTTTTCAATCTAAATCTATAAATAAATAGTGACAAGTGGAGTTCAACCAGGTCTGTTGTGAGATAGTAACTCACTGAAAACAATAGTGAATGTGTCACTCAATTTTGTGAATTAGTTAAAGTTAGACATTAACACCGTTGGATGGAGGCTCAGTGGTCCAGTAGGTTAAGCGTTTGCGCTCGTAGCCAGTAGGTATTGCGTTCGAATCCCGCAGGGGACGGATAGTGTATGCACACTTCTGAGGAGTCCCACAATAGGACGAAACGACCATCCAGTGCTTCCAGGTTTTCCATGGTTGTCTAGCTTCAACTGACTCATGATCTTAACCATAGAAATTACTAAATATATTTATAAAAAATATCGATTACTAGTCGATTTCTATCCTTATCATTATTTATAGCTCATAATGAAGATATCAATGAATGTCTTTCTGATTGTTCACAAATCCCTATTAAAAATTTTTCATTTCATGATAAAGATTTAAATAAATTAAATAATACACAATTTTGTTTAAATGATTCAACTATTAATTATATTACTGATGATGTCATTTCAAATTCAAACTTATCAACTATAAATTATAATGAATTCAATGAATCAAAAGATATAACAGAAATGGATAATACCAGAATTAATTTATTACCAAGTATAGAAACTGTTACACAATCATTTAATACTAAATCTAATCATATAATTGATAATATCAATAATGATATGAATACAAATTGTATATTGAATACAATCACTACTAGAACACCAATTAGTACAGTTTTAACTTCACCATTATATTCATTTTGTTCTCAATCATCATCATCATCATCATCATCGTCCTCCTCCTCATCTTCTTCCTCATCTTCTTCACCTTCATTATCATCCATATGTATTTCATTATCAACTTCACCACCATTATGTCCTGTTGGAAATTTTACAAATGTGAATTCTACATCAAAAATTGGTATATCAACAAATAAAGATGTACATAATAATAGTATAATCACATTAAAAGATACTAATCAAAATCATCTTATAAATAAAAGTGAATTATCAATGTTAACTGATTTATGTGAAATTTCAACGAATAATTATAATGAAAATATGAATTCAATGAATAAACAACAATCTTTATTCAATGAAACTATAACAAATGAAATAATGAATAAAACGACTGTGAAATCTGTTAATTTATTCAAAAGTTAGTTATGAGAAAGTTTAATTTAATAATTTTGTTGTTAACAGTAAATTAAGCGCTTACGTGCAAGATTGTCAGGTTGTAAGTTGGGATCTCGCTGGGGGAAGGGGGCAGGATCGTGGATATGCATTGTTGACGAGTCCCACAACAGGATGAAAATAATATTTCATAATGGATATAATACATAAAATGTATTTTAAAATTGAGTAAAATAGGTGACTAAGCCTTAATAATCCCCTTTTTAATTTACAAATTAACTTTCAACTATAAAGAACAAAAAAGGATTGTATTGGATATTATAGTCTAGTGCTTCCAAGTTTTCTGTGGTTGTCTAGCTGCAATTGACACATGATCTCAACTATTAAAATTACCATAATATCCACAAAAACTTTTCTGATAGTATATTAATAGTTGAATTTATTTGTCAATAGAAGCTAGACAACCATGGAAAATGTGGAAGCACTAGACTATAATATCCAATAAAATCCTGTTTTGTTCTTTATAGTTGAAAGTTAATTTGTAAATTAAAATGGAATTTTTGTAAGCAATGATGGATGGTGGCTAGCAGTTGAATCCAGGACGCGCGTTTCGAGTCTCAGAGTGAACATCAACTCTGAAATACAGGTACATCCAGCTGACGAGTCCCAAATAGGACGAAACGTGCGTCCTGGATTCCACTGCTAGCCACTATCCATCAATGCTTACAAAAAGCTTATGAATTAAGGCAATATCGAGGCATACGCACAGTATGCACATATTTCAATAACAGACTGATCAATTGCAGTCTTAAATCTCAATGGGAAGATACAAGCCAAACAATACTAAGTGGATTAAAAAGGAATTATTAAGCCTTAGTCACCTATTTTACTCAGTTTTAAAATACATTTTGTGTATTATAACCATTATGAAATACTATTTTGTAATAATTTATTGTCATTTTACCAGGGAAGAACGAAAAACTCTCAGGTTTTGTGACATTTTATTCACATAATGTAGTCATTAAATCATTTTTAAACGATCTGATGTTAAACAAAGATGAATGGTGGCTAGCGGTGGAGTTCAGGAGGCGCGTTTTGTCCTATTTAGGATTCATCAGTTAGATATTCATGCATCTGAGTTAATGTTCACTCAGGGACTTGAATCCAGTACTGTCCGCTTCAAACAAACAATACAAAATGAATTTGACCAGATGTTAAGTTTTATTTCAATAAACTACATAGAATGGTATTTTATTAACTGAAAACTTTTCACATAGAAACAATCTGTTTTTTTATATATTTTGCTGTTATATTCAAAGCATCCAAAGAATTAAGGCATCATTAACCTTAAGAAACCAATGATCATTTAAACTAATGAAAATGTATTTTTGATGCAGCACTGAGTTAAAAGTCATATTCATAACCTATTTATGCATAAATAGATTGGACTCTTAGTAGTTGAGATTGACTAAGTATCCAAAATTTGAAAAATGTCAGGGAATCAACAGTCATTCAATTGAGTTCTTTTGTGAAGGCTAATAACATGTAAGAGAATTGCGTGAGAAATAACCTATCAAAGACTACAAACGAAAATTAAAGATCAATTTTTCTGTAATAATTAGATTCTGATCGATATATTGTGTCAAGTTGCTCTGTGAAGAGAATCATAGTCTGTAATATGGTTATTACTGACTGAAACAAAAAGATATTCACTCATCTTTAAATATGCTATCGAATTGCATGGAGAGTTGAGAAAGCTAACTATAAGACCCTTTGAAACTTTACTTATGTGGATATTAACATATGTCAAGTGATTTATGGAAGTTCCTTCAACAGTTTTAAAGAGGGACTGACCAGAAAATGATGAGTAAATGCTTTGTTTCAATTTGGGACACATAAGTACCGCACAATATTGATCCCGAAAGAATATATCCAAAATCATTCAAATTCCACAATAAACCTAATTCCTTCTAGCTCTTGAGTGCTAATTGGATAGTTTAAATTTTTTCCCAATATTTATTTTATGATATAATGTGACTGTTGGTTGATAATTGACTGAAAACAGACTAGACCGACTATAAAATTGGTAAGTTAAAATCTACCTGATCTTATGTGATCACATAGTTAATATTTACTGATAAGGGTCGTAGTTTGATCAACATTCAATAAGTGTACTACCATAAAATGTTGTTGGGGGATTACAGTAATGCTAAGACTGATTTCAGTTACATAATTATCTATGTTATGCCAACTATATATACATATATATAGTGCTAGTATGAATTTAATAGTATATTAAGTGTTTAGTTGGTAGTTATATTAGAGTTGGTAGCAGTAATTTGTGAAGTTAGCATAAAAAACCTGTTATTCTATACTATTTATTTGATTCATTTCATTTAGCTGTAAGCTAATGACAAATTGAGGAAGATCAATACTTAATTCAATATATAGACTTGTATTACAATAACATAGAAAGTATAAACATTTAAACTTTAACTATAAACTAGATATGTAAGAATTCTATTTGAAAAAATTTCTCAGCGATTGAAATAGAACATACTTTCAACGTTTCGTTCAACATACTCGTCTAGACTTCTTCAGAATAATAATCAAAATTTTAGATCAAACATTTTCGCTTTTGATTATTACCCTTGAACAAGTTTAGACATATAATGACTTCTCTATCCTCGGCGCCCAATTTTTGTTAAACGATTCATTTTAATTTTGACAAATATTCATATGTCAATCGAAGCTAAACCACCATGGAACACCTAGAAGCACTGGACGGCCGTTTCATCCTGGTATGGGACTCCTCAGTAGTGCGCATCCACGATCCCACCCCCCACGGGATTCAAACCCAGAACCTATCAGTCTCGCGCCAGGCACACTGCTGAGGAGTCCCATACTACGACGAAACGGCCGTCCAGTGCTTCCAGGTTTTCTATGGTAGTCTAGCTTCGATTGACTCGTGATTTCAACCGGTGAAATTTCTAAAAATCTCCACAAAATCCATTCTGATAAAAATATTCATATATGAACTGGATAACTCTCTTGTTTAAACCTTAAAAGAATAGAATTATATGAAGAGAATATTGAAATTATTAGGTCTCTTTTTTTCAGTTAGAATATACATTAAATTAGACATTCATTTGATGAATGTACTTTTCTTTTATTGATTGATATTGATCAATTTTTAAAAAAAAAATTTATCATTTGATTTTTATTATAGATACAAAATCAGAACCAATAAAATCGATAAAATCAATAAAATTTATAAAAAAATCAGAAAATGAACGTTTATTATCTAATGAAAAACTACATAGACGAATAGATAAAAATAATGGAAAAATTAAACGAATACGTACATCATTTAAACATCAACAATTAAGAATAATGAAATCTTATTTTGAATTTAGTCATAATCCAGATTCTAAAGATTTAAAACAATTATCACAAAAAACTGGTTTATCTAAACGTGTTTTACAAGTAAGTAGAATATAGTTGTGTTTCTCTTTTTCTCTCTCTCTCTTTATAATCAGTAAAGCCTATTTGAATAAATAAAGATGGATAGTGATTAGCAGTGGAATCTATGACATGCGTCTCATCCTAATTGAGAATCGTCAACTGGATGTACCGACATTTCAGAGTTGAACAGAAGATGGGTGAGGACAATCGAATGTATTTAACACAAAATTACAGGACTTGTTAATAAAATCTAATAATCATAAAGTAAATGCTTAATTTGCAAAATGTCCATCGATTGTCCCAAAATGACTGAGACTTCATTGTTTTTGCATTTTCATACAAATTGTATTTTGTTTCCAGTCTTTACTGTTCGATCCTCTTGTCTCTCTTCTGCCAGACTCTCTTTTCACGACTAACATCATCTACTAATCATGTCAATATAAGTAGCACACACCACACGATTACTCTATAGTTTTCACACTTGTTACAATTTCCTTTCTTTAGTATGTTAATGGGGTACTCATTCTTCTCACTCAATCTTCCTGAATAGGATGTGGAGTATCTATTCAGTTACTTCTATATCTGACTTCAGTTCTTAAGCTGGTATATATTGTCAAGTCTTACTGTTTTCCAACTCTTCCTTTGTCTGGTGATCATTCTGTCTATCCTTAATACCTCATATATATATATATATATATATATATATATATATATATATATATATATATATATATATATATTGATCAACAGAAAACAGATAAACTATAAATTCATCAACTTATAAGTAATCTCTATGTAATCTAACCATAGTTTTGATGTTTAATCACAAATATAATTTAAACAAATAATAATATAACTTTTATTTGATTCTATTTCATTTCAATTTTGAGGTATGGTTTCAAAATGCACGCGCTAAATTTCGTCGAAATATAACCAATCAAATTTGTTCAGATAAATTAAAACAAAAAGAAATCAATTCAATGAATCAATATAATACAACACAAAATATTAATCAATTAAAAGAGATAAATTGTCAAAATTTATATCCATGTATCACTACCTATGATTATAATGAAGAAAAAATCGATAATATTTATACAAAATCAATAAATTCCGATTTTAATCTTTATGTCCATGTTCCAACAAATTCAAATAATGGATCATTAATTGATAATTTAATACAACCAAATGATATACAATCTGATTTATTATGTTCAACAAATAATTTATCATCATATTCTGATAATTTATCTCAATCAGTTCGATAATTATAAATGAATAATAAATATAAATTGTATAATTTAAATACATTCCATTTTATGTTCTATAACAGGTCAATCAATTGATCCTATTACATAATGATACATAGTTACAAACACCCACCCCCCAACCATCTACCCAACCGGCCCACCCCCCCACACACACTCATACATATCATTCTCTTATCATCAAAATAAAATATACCAAATATTCACTATATATAAACACTATAATTTTAAGAATTGCCATAGACTATTATTTATTTATTTCCATCAATTAATAATAATGATCATAATAGTTTGATTTTCTTTTATCCCTTCATTTATGTCCTGTAGAATGATGTGATATACATGTGTATGTATGTATGTAGTGTGGTATCCAGTTTCTTATATATTTAATTAGATTTCTATACTTGATATGGAATTTCACAAGAATCATTGTATAATTGTATTTTATGCATATTCATGATATAAATTAGAATAAATCTCATCTCATCTTTTCATTTGTTTGTTTTTTCTCTATCGATTATTCTTTGTTTTTCTTTCCATTTTTTTCTCTTCTTTTTATCAGTTTCGTTTTTGTTTGTTTGTCTGTTTGTTTTTAATTTCACTCTTGAATTATTTGTTTATATGAATTCAGAAATTCAATAGTATAATGAATTGGAAAAAAGGGCGCCAAAACTTTTTCAAATAATACATGAATCTATAATAACATTTTTAATAAAATATAAATATAATTTGTAATTTATTGTTGTTAAATTTAATTGAAAAAAAAGTAATTTGTTTTATTTATTTATTATGAATTGATCATTTGATCATTTGATCACTTTTATATTTTAAATTTACAATAAGTTACCCCCCAGTGAATTCTTAATTATAGAAGTGAAATAGTATGATGTTTTATAAGATAACTATTTGATCTATACAAACATCAAACCTTGATGATTTTATGATTATTATTGATTAAAAAGACTAAGCTTACTATGAATTTTTTTTCAGTGTATTCTAATATTATTATCGTATATGACACTTTTGACCATTTTTTTAATATGTTCTTTTAGTAAGTGAGTAGTGTATATACAAAGTGTCATTCTTACTAAAAATTCTATTTTAATCTACTGGAGTTATCTATAATTGTCTATTATGAACGTGGATTGGTTGAAGTTAGACATTAACATCATTGGATGACAACTGGTTGAGTGGTCTAGTTGGTTAAGCGCCTGGTGCGAGGCCGATAGGTCCTGGGCTCGAATCTCAAGGGGTGTGAGATCGTGGGTACGCACTGCTGAGGAGTCCCGTACTAGGATGAAACGGCCGTCCAGTGCTATCAGGTTTTCCATGGTGGTCTAACTTCAATTGAATCATGATTTCAATCAGTAAAATTTCTAAAATCTCCACAAAACCCTTTCAGATATTATGAACGTGTTTATTGAAGTACATTGTGATGTTTAAAATGAAAAGCATAAATATTTATTAAATGTATGGGTTTTAAATGACATTATGAGTGAAAATTACACTTTACTATGCAATACTCACTTATTAAATAAACATAAAACTGATTGTTAGAATCTGGAAAGAAACATTGTGAGTAGTCTAGACTGAGTAAATGTTTTATTGATTGCATTTTGTCAGCTATATTAAACTGAAATTCGATTCACGTGTCTAGTAATTATACAACTTCCCGTGTCCCTAAATGCCTAAACAACATTAATTCTCTTGTTTAGTAATGTTTATTACTGAACATGTGCATACTATTTAATTTCAGTGTCTTCGAATTCATATAATAAACAAGGTTTTCAATTGAATAAGAATTCCACTTAAATCAAATAATCATTGAAAACCTAAAAGCACTAGATGGCCGTTTCTTCCTGGTAAGAGGTTCTTCAGAGGTGCTCATCCACGACCCCATAAGCGAAACTTAACCTAGAACCTTCAGTCTCACACATGTGCGCTTAACCTTAAGATCACTGAACGGGTATCCGATTATGTACAAGTCTAACTTCAATCACTCCATGGAATTAGGTGACCCTCTCCCATTGTCTTTGAAGGGTACCTTACTCATACTCGACACAGTTTAACTCCAATGGTTTCCACTTCTCACTAGAGCTCCTTTAATTTACTTTTCAAAGGTATTCACCAACGAGCATATGATAACTATCCATTTGGAGTTGTAGAGATTGCTGAACTTTACTGAAATCACGGGCCTAATAAGAAACGATTTCTTAATAAACCATTTGATAAATATTGCTACATTTAAAATGAATCTGCTTATTTTTTTTTACTCAGATCTTCTACAAATAGGAACCAGAGTCAATAATTGACCAAATGCTTAAAAAAGTCGGATGAAATAAATTTCATTTCCCATAATATCATTAACTGAAGCTATAATTACATTAATCTACACTGTGCAATAATCTAATTCTAAATCGAACTGTACCGCATATATCATAATAACCCAGAAAATTATTAACATAATTTAATAGTTAAATAGTTATCAGTAAAGTAAACAGTCTGTAGTGGAATTGGTTTATAGATTAGAAGTATCAGTATACACTCACTGTTCTGGTACACGGTAAATATAACCAACGAACTCGACATATTCAGATGATAAATTAGTTAGATACAATTTTTTTAAACATATCAGAAAAGGAAGTTCAAAATTCTGTTTGTTTTTGAATTGTTTATAAACTTCTAGTTTAATTATTCTGCTAGTCTTTCTGTTAACGATTCAGATTATACGACCACAACTTTAATGACAACTGCTTCTAGCCTCTCAATACAGTCAATTAAAAAGATTAATCATGTTAAGAAGGTCTATTAAATGAGATCAAGAGGATTATTGAATTCATATTCAAGCTAATTCCATTATTTATGAATTTTGTGATTACTAATTACAGAGTTTTATGAAGTGAACAATTGTTACCAAGTATAAAATCATTGTGAAATAACCATTGAACAGAAAATAAATTGAACATTAAACAACTAAATACAACTAACATTCACTAAAAGTTATTAAACTGAATTCATGGAAATGTGTTAAGATTAACTGAAAGAAAATCACTACAAGTCAATGTACGATATAAAGATAGATTTTCTTTCTCCTATATTGTATTTAGGTATACAGTGTAGTGAACGAGAACACAAATGGGGACAATCAAATATATTTGAATACAAAATTGCAAAACATTTTAATAAATCTGAGAATCATACTGTGAATAACTAATTTGCAAATTGTCAATCAATGGTCTCAAACTTGACTGTTCCTTTTGTAAACATCAATCATTCATCTAAAACTTCATTGTTCCTGCATTTCCATACCAACCGCTTTCTGTTCCTGTTCTTTCCTACCCGATCTTCTTGACCTTCTGATGACAGATATTCTATCCCTGACCAGCGTTATATACTACATATGTCGATATTATTAGCATACACAACAATAGTATCTTTGATACTATCCATAAAATAATCACTGTTTTCACTGAATTTTATGTATTTATAAACGGATACATTTTACAAGTCATTATTTTATACAAAAGATATGAAACTTTCAGTTTCTTTAATGAATCTAGACATTAAATTTTTGATGTAATTCATTTCAGCAGAATACAATCTATTTAATACTTGAGTCTACCATTGACCTGATCTTCCTTTTAATTTTTCCATATTTGGCAATAAATTAATGTTAACCTTTGTTTGCTACGAATTGTTTAAGTAAAACGTTTTTACTTCCATACTTCCAACTTAAGATATTCTATATTTTCCTCGCATCAAAAGTTTTCGGAAATTGTGCCAATGACGTCTTAATCTATTTACTAGAAAATAATTCATATGTAATGGTTGTTTGAAACTTCCCATCGATGTTTATGATTGCAATTAATCAGTATCTTTCGGCAAATGTGCATCCTGTCAGGATTGCCTCAATATTACCAGCAAGTCATAATTATTATAAGCAGAGATGAATGGTAGCTAGCAGTGGAATCCAGGAAGCGCGTTTCGTTCTATTTGGGACTTGTCGACTGAATGTACCTAGGAACACAGAGTTAATATTCACTCCAAGACTCAAACTCAGGATTATTCGCTTCAAACGTCACCGGTTTATTCTCTTGGCTACCGAGTCTATATAGCTACTGGCTTGTACAGTCCTAAAACTCTATAAAAAATTCAAAAAATACATGTGAAATAAAATGCTATCAATTTCATAAGCCAGGGGCTATCAGTATACAGTAGCCTAGTGGATAAAATGATAGTGTTTCAAGTGAGAAATGCGCGATTCGAGTCCATGAGTGAAGATTAATCCTGGGTTTGTAGGTACACATGGTTGATGAGTTACAGATAGGGCGAAACGCTAGTCTTGGGTTCCATGTTAGCCATCTATTTGAGGAAATAGTTTTGTTATATATTTCATACTACTTACATATTAAAAAAGTATAATTTAAAAAACCTATTTCTGTGTGCATCTCGCATTATCTTGAAGTTGGGTTTTTCAATAGAAATGAGCCATTCTCATTAAATTTACACGAATTAGAGATAAAGTGTTATATAATACTTTGGCAGCTACATTACCGAGTAGAAAGCTTGCAGTAACTAAAGATCTGGATACTTTCACCTTATTGTTCTGTATTTTATTACTATTGAACCGAACCCAGGACCAGTTTATTTTATATCTAACTGTGCATCCTATAAACTAACCTGCTATCCTTATCTCATATTTGATTGTATAGATTATTCTCATAATTTGCTACTCTCCTTAGACTTATCACCTGTTTTCTAATCTTAATTATATTTTGCTGTTATACCGTTAGTTAACCCTTAACCTTTTAAATACCTGCAGATATTAATTTCAACTTGTATGCTCTTTCATGAAAAATGAACACTATTCCTTCAGTATATACACTTTTAGCTTCAGAACCTTTGTAAATAACACCTACATATCACAGTTTATCATAATCCCAGCTGTTCTGTCCAACTATGTGTCTTATATCAATGGTTGTTGTGGCTTGCGATGCTGACTGATATCACATATCATAGTTACCAAACAAAAATCTATTATGACACGTCTACGATCTCTTCTTTGGCCTAGTGTCTTAGACCTAATCAATTATACGTCAAACCAACACCATTAACCTTGAGCTTGTGTAAAATAATCCCCTGTTGGTCTGACATTCCCAAGCTTTTTCCTACTCCTAGTCTTGAATCCAAAGAGAAGCCAGCATGCAACACCATTGTTATTATATTTCAAGTAAATGTGGGTCCTCATTCAAACATACTGAACCACATCGTACCATACAATGAAAAACTACAACCATACCCAAACAACACAAAAGTAATTGTGAATATGAAAAGCTTTAAGTAATAAACCGGGAACAATTTACGAACAGTAAGTCATATTACAATAGTTAGTTTTCTGTTGATCATTTTTAAAAAGTGGAATACCTTCGATTAACTCAATTTCTTCTATAAATTAGCATTTAAATTCTGTTGAAAATATATTTTAGTATAAATAAAACTGAAGTCTAGTTGATTTCAATCTTTAAATTATTTAAAAATATCCATCTACTTTTTGTTATTTTCAAAATCATGGATAATTAGAAAAGGATTTTGTAAATACTGTAGTAATTTTAGTAGTTGAATTCAGGAGTCGATTAAGGCTAGACTACCATGGTATATCTGGAAGTACCGGATGGCCGTTTCGTCCTAGCATGGGAATCCTCCACAGTGTGCTTTAACGATCCCGCTCACGGGATCCGAACCCAGAACCTATCATGAATAATTGCTTAAGATTGGATCGTAGGCTGAGATTTGAAATATAGCAACAATTTCATGTTTTTGTCAACGCATCAGTAAGCAGTTTAAGAAAAAAAAGAAGAGGAGATAATTTCACTCCAATGAGAGAGTTAACGATGCTATATTATGTATAGAAAATCACTGGTTAAACTACATTTTAATATATCCACAAACTACAGTAACATTATACTGTAATATGAGGGCATTTAAAACCTATTCTGTTATGTATGTCACGGTTATATCTGCAAAATGGTTATCTGACTTGTTTCTGATACTGAAGCTTCGAATCCAACGTCACGTAGTAAAAAAAAGACCGGTGACATGGATTTATGTTACTGAATTGATAAATCAATAACTTAGATGTACGGTATTTTTCTAGACAACCATTACATGTTTCTGTAACAACAAGTACTTTAATGAACGAGAACACGGCTGGATACAACCAGTTTGTTTAATACAAAATTACAAGATATCTTCGTAAAATATGAGAGCCATACATTAAATACTTCATTTACAAATCTCCCACCAATTGTCTTTTACATTCTGTATGATTCTTCCATTTCGCAATCCCTTTCTATTTCCCTTTTTTTTTCTTCACTTCAATCTTCTTTACCTTCTGCCGCCAAGTTTTCCACTTCCGATTAATGTTGCATACTACTTATGTTTGTCGACATAAGTAACACACACCACAATACTATTTAGATTGTCCAACTAATTATTTCTAGGTCAAATTCACCAAAACTTATAACGTTCAATCCATCTTCAAAGATTTGAGTTTTTAGAAAAAAGAAAATATTTTTCAGCCTATTTTCATCTTTGACTCAAAAAAGTCGCAATAAACAACTTTAAATGACGAAGATCATTAGAACTAAGTGAAATATTAGAGCAATACTTTTCGAACAATCTTATCATACAGCTACTTGTTCAGAATTTAAAAATAAAAGGTCGAATGAACTAAAAATGGAGGGTAAAAAGAAATCAAGATAATAAAGTATATCATATGAAAAACAATATAAAACTCACCATGCTGAATGATAAATTAATATTACCAGAGTAGGTTCAAAATGAGAATTAAATTTTTTATATACAATAAAGAGGTTAACGTATCACATAGTTCTGCATAATCCTCATCTTTTTATTACACTATTAAAATTGTAGGTGGTTATCAGGACTCTGTAGCTAAGTGGATATCGCGATGGTGTTTGGAGCTGAATGGCACTGGGTTCGAGTCCCGGAGTGAACATCCACTCGGGGATGCAGGTACATCCAGCTGACGAGTCTCAAGTAGGACGAAATGCACGTCTTGAATTCCACTGCTAGCCACTATCCATCTTTGCTTAAAAAGCTTGTGACTTAAGGTTATATCGAGGCAATCCTCACAGAATGCACATATACCAATAAGAGACTGATCAATTACAGTCCTAAATAACAATGGGAAGATACAAGTAAAACAACACCAAGTGAATTTAAACGGTTTTTATATAGAATAAAGAGGCTAATATATCACATAGTTCCATATAATCTTCATCTTCTTATTACACTATCGAAATTTATCAAAAGGACTAATTATTTCAAATTTTAAATGAACTTTTCGTTATCAAACAACAACAGTCAACATATGCTCACTAGTGACTGGCTTCACGAGTTATATCCTGAAGTTCTAGTGAGAAGTAGTGACCAGTGGAGTTCAACCAGGTCTGTTGTGAGATAGTAACTCACTGAAGACACTGGTGGATTAGTTGAAGTTAGACATTGACACCATTGGATGCCGGCTCAGTGGTCTAGTGGTTAAGTGCTCGCGCGCGAAACCAGTAGGTCCTGTGTTCGAATCTCGCTGGGGGCGAGGTCGTGGATGCGCACTACTGAGGAGCCCCACAATAGGACGAAACGGCCGTTCAGTGCTTCCAGGTTTTCCATAGTGGTCTAGCTTCAACTGACTCATGATGCTAACCATTGAAATTACTATAATATCCACAAAACCCATCTGATATTAAATAAAAACATTGTTTCGGTACCTCATCATAGAATCTATTATTATTATTATTATTATTATTACTATAATACATAGAGTACATTGAATATGGAATAAAGTATAATTATGTAATTTATATTAATTATAAAAATCATTAAATTAAAGTCTTATCTTAATCAATTCAAGTACATTATCAATAGAACTATCATGATTAAAACATTTGAAACTTGTTTTTGTTTTTATTCTTAACTTTTTCATCTATTTTTTTTATAGTCGACTCAAAGGTCGTCATAATTATTACTATATCAAACTTCAAAGTTGTATACAATGAACAGTTAACAACTACTGTGGACTTTCACAAAATGGTAAGCTAATTGAGAGGATTTGAGTGTTATGAATTATTTGTACATTTTAATTGTTGATTCACATATAAATCATAGTTGATTTATTCACTCATTTATAGTTGATCATTTCAAGTAAAATGTCCTATCTATTTTAAAGCTTATTTATTATGAACAATCAGAATTAAGATGAGGTTAATCAAAATCATGAATAGATCTGAGTTAAACTTACTTACGTCTGTTACTCCTCGTGAAGGAGCATAAGCTACTAGCTCACCAGCATTCTCCATCCAACCCTGTCCTGGTCAATCCTGTCTAGTTCTTTCCAGTTGTTATTTATCTTTTTCCATATCTGATTCTATTTCCCGACATAATGTGCTATTTGGCTTTCCTCTTTTCCGCTTCTCCCCAAGGATTTTAAGTTAGGGCTTGCCTCGTGGTGCAGTTCGATGATTTGCGTAATATATGTCCTATCTATTTCCATCGTCTTTTCCCAATTTCCTCTCCAGCTGGAAGCTGGTTTGTTCTTTCCCACAGTAGGCTGTTACTGATGGTATCCGACAAATCGGTGTTGAGTATCTTGTGTAGACAATTATTTATAAATACTTGTACCTTCTTGATGATGGTTGTAGTAGTTGTCCAAGTTTCATCTCCGTACAGTAGAACTGCCTTGACGTTGGTATTGAAGATTCTCACTTTGACATTAGTTGAAAGTTATTTCGAATTCCATATGTTCTTCAATTGTAGGAACCTAAGTTAAACAATCATTGTAAATCTGAGAGTAGTGGACAACTTTTTTGTCATAGTATGGGAATCCGGAACAGTACATATTCACAAACCCGCCACTTCAGAAACACTTAAACTCTAGACCATTGAGTTTGGCTCTAATGGTATATATATCCAACTTAAGTCATTCTACGATACTAGCAAACCATGATTCATTGAATATAGTGGACACCCTTCTAGGGTCAACCCTCGATAGTTAGGTCGTGAATATACATATGAAGAGTCTCAAAATAGGGCGAAACAACTGTCTAAGGCTTCCAGGTTTTCACTAGTTTTCTAACTTAGGTCGGTTTGCAATATCGATAACAGTCAACAATCTCCACAACCCCCATACATATGTATAATCAATTAACAGAGAATGAGTCATATGATACAAAGTATCTAACTCATATTATCCACTGAACTTTATTATTCTGTATAAATCTACCATACATAACCCAATAAATGACCAGTTGCTTTTTTAAACTATACATTTCATATTCAGAAATAATTAATTAAACTTCCTTTAGCATCTTGAAAAGTGTTATAATCTAATATTAAAATTTTGAAATAATATAAAACAACTTATCAATGTTTGCTTGATAATTAACTTTTAATATAGTTTAATGAAAGAGTTCTTCTCTTAACAAGTTCATTCATAAATTTATCTGTAATCAAGAACATCCTTTATATTAGTATAAAGGGATCGGTAAAGATGATAGAATTCTGATAGTCTAAGTAACTAGCTAATTTTAGCTAGACTAGTCTTAGAAACCTGGAAGAACTGCACTTCTGTTTCATTTGAGTATAAGGTTACTCAGCAGTACATATCCCCAACTTCACCATAAGGAGTCGAACCCACAGCTTTCAGTTTCACGCACGTATGATTAACCTTTAAACTATTAAGCGGGCATCCGACGGTGTACATGCCTAACTCCAATCAATTTGCAATATTTCACAAGCTTCATTCATTACCTACTGTAAATAACTGTCTCACTTGATATTTCTTATATGCTTGTCAAAATACCAGATACGTATAGTTACAAATAAACAATTGATTACATAGTTTCACCATGTAAATAAATAACAAACGAAAAGATTATATCATAAGGGTTTTCGTGAATATTATAGTAATTTCAATGGTTGAGATCATAAATCAATTGAAGCTAGATCATCATGAAAAACCTGGAAGCACTGGACGGCCGTTTCGTGCTTCCAGGTTTTCCATGCTGATCTAGCTTCAAATGACTCATGATTATGTATTAAAATATAAAAGATAAATTTGATCACAGTCTTACTTTGCCTACATTATGAAGGGAACTGTACTTCAATAAGATTTCAAAGAACTTCAGTGGACAGTCTTTATGATGTAGATCAAATAAAGATTCCACATAAATCGTATATACTCCGTTGACAAATCTCTTTAATAACAGTATAGACAAAAACAAAGTCGAATAGGAGTGTTTCGGTTGTCTATACTTTATACATTCTCCTCGATAAGGATTGGAGAAGTCAGCTATACTTACTAAAAATATTATTCATAGCAAGTTATAATCTAATCCGAAATAAATAATACATGGGGCAACAAAGAGACAGACATTGGATAAAAACAATAAGTGTATAAGCAAAAACACACGGAAGCATATATGAGATGTGTTAGCGTAAGATTACAAGAACACGAATATAAGAGGTATATATATACTGAAGTTCACAATATTCTATGGATAGGATAAAATTACAAGGATGGTAGAATTGACACAGTAGTAATACGCTATCTGAGTTATTAAAGCCTGTCCAATTGTTAAGATCAGTCACATGGGTTTATAATAGCATAGAAGCGGTTACAATATTAAGATATCGTACAAAGACAAGTGTACAAGAAAATGACTTGGTTAAATAGTATTGTAGTTTGTTATAATAAAATGTGTTTGAAATTTACCATAAGAGATGAGTTTTAAGATTATCACTAGTGATTAGTCTCTAAAATTCAAGTTACTCAAGCAGGATTTCCTCTGAATTCAATTACATAGTTTTTGGATGATTTAATTTCACAATCACTAATTCATTATGATCATCCATGGAATCCATGATCTATTGTGATAAACCAATGAATTTCATTTATGGTTGTGGTTTACGTTTCCACAAAGTAAAGCACGACATCCAACTGTCTCCTTTGAAAATATGAATCTGCATTCTGATGAAGCATTAGGAGAAACAACCTTATAAAATTGTCACACTTACCTCGTTCTTTGGGAACGACTAGGATTTCTTCTGGCAGCTTTACGACCAATCCTTATGTGCGGTTTCCCATTCTGACATCAATGACAAAATGTTACCATCTTAACGTTTCTTACTGTATGACTGAACGATTCCAGCGACGGAAACGTTACTAGAAACAGCATGAATCTGAAGTAGTAATGGCGTGACTAGTCGGACTTATTGTTATCTAAATGTTCGTCATCACACAAATTATTGGCTTTTATATCAACATTGAAACAATAATAACCTGTAAAATCCTCTTTAGAACTATCAATATTATTCGACGACAGGTTTGTGAAGAGCAAGGGGAAAGGTGTGAAAAAATCTACTTTAATTCATGGGATGGCAATCGAAGAAAATTTAAAGCAGAATCGGTTTAATGTTCTGGGGATAAACATTACGTTGCCAATTCATCTGAATGTAGTGTAGTCAGTGATAACGGTTACTTTGTGGTTTATTTAGTCACTCAATTGTAGATATATTGGACTAATTTATATTATGGGATTATTTGGCGATGTGACTTTTGCTATGTTGTCATTTTTCCTCTATCATGACTGAGTGGGCTACACTTGACACGTCCGTAGCATGACAGAGTGATATGTTCGTCGAAGAAAACTTTATATTTTTTATGTAAGCCAGAAGAAACGACAGATAACGAAACGCTCCCTCCATCATGGATTACGTTAGTGTAAATAATAATCCCCGCTTCATTTTTGTTGACTGCCAGGTATAAGGGAAAAATTGCGAACGAGAGTGGAGTTTATCCTGACTAGTTTAATATTATTGTCAAAGTTTAGCAAGTAACGTTTGTAACGGAGTAACTTTTTTACTAGTTATTATAGTATTTAACTTTTGACACACCCTGAAGAAATTGGCTATAACTGAAATTAATAATGAAGCCTTTCATTATTTAATCTATCTGTCAATATATCTCATGACTAAAGGTTGAATACTAACTTTTAAATGTATAGATTAACAGGTATAACAACTCAGTAACAAATAGATTGTACAGCTACGTTTTAAGGTTGATAGCTTTAAATCAGAACTTGTTACTAAGTAAATTAATTCATCACTAAATAATTTGCAAAATTATCTGAGCAAATCCCCTAGAATTTTAGTTAATCACCCAGTAGTTGAAAGTAATGTATATTCTTTTATCTGAATAATATGACGGAGTCGCGTATATTAAGGTTGGATAACTTAGGTGAAAAATATGTAGTCTTGGTGTTGTAGATATGTTTGAACACAATCCGTTAAACTTCTGAAATGTATTTAGTAAATTATCTTCTATTACCTTACAACAACTTTTTAAATTTTTTTATATACAGATAGATAGTGGCTAGCGGTGGGATTCAAGAGATATGTTTCATCTTTCCCGTACTCGTCAAGTGGATGTACCCGCACTTGTGTTGATATTCACACCGGCACTGAAATCAGTGGCTTTTGTCTAAAACACCTAATAAGTAATCCACTTAGCTATTGACAAAACACTAGTCTTGGATCCATGTGCTAGACACTATTCATATGTGCTTGGAAATCTATGTGACTGATGGCAATAACTCAGTAATCTGCATAGGATACACATATGCCGAAAAGAGACAGTTCTGTTTCAGTACTTAAAACCAAAAGTGGGACGTTTTAGGCCTTCAGAAATGAATTAACTGTCTTTCGATCCTTCTGACGATATTTGTTGCGTTAAAATGCAGTTTTCAAAATGCTCAGTATATGGTGATTAAATATTTCAATGGTATTGTTTTTCTCTAGTCTGGAAAAAACAGAAATGATCAAAAAGTTTCGATATCTTCAAGAAGTATTCAGTTCATGATAGCGATATTTGGAATATTTTCATTTACACTAGTCAACATCACAGTTATTGTGAGACAATTTCATCCAAAGTGGAAAGATTCCCCAAGTTCTATGATATTGCAAACTGGAATAACTCTGTTTGGTTTCTTGATAATCATATTTCTTGTTGTAATAAGTCAATTGAATGTGAGTGACTATGTTTGTTGAATCATACACTGTACATTGACCTGATTTGTCTCTATCCAGTAACCTTCGGTGATAGATGGATCATGGATCGACTGAGGTGAGACAATGACACCGTTGGAGACCGGCTGAATGGTTTGGTCGTTAGTGGTGCACGCGCGACACCGAGAGTTCTGGATTCGAGTCCCACCCACAGAACCGTTGGTGCACGCTCTGCTGAGGCGTTCGACAGTTGGACGAAACGGCTGTCCAGTGCTTCCAGGTTTCTAACGGTGGTCTAGCTTCGATCGATTTATGAATTCAACTCTTAAATTATATATATGTATATAATCATGAAATAGTTTCTAAATAGACAGTGAAATTATGTGAACTGAAAAACGACCAAACTGAGAGTTAATAAAATAAAATTTGATTATAATATGGCTGTTGAGTTTGATCTCTATCGGTGGGGTTGTAAAATATGTGATCTTCAGTGATCTGACACCTAAAGGAGACTGTTGTCCATAGCTTCGTAGTGTCCAATAGGGATTTAATTTAGTATCATTACTACCAGTAGATTGTTTTAAAAAAATCTCATTTTAATAGTTGACATTAGAATTACTCAATAATAATGAATCGAATGATTTGATGAACTCTTAGGAAACTATAACATTAATGAATTTAAGTCAACTTATTTGAATAAAAAGAGCTTCAAGGAATACATATGTTTCCAATGTGCTTTTTCTTTCGTTAGAAAACGTCTGAAATGTTAATAGAAGAAGAGAGTAAACATGAATCAATAGATAAAGTAAGTTTATTGATGAGTGAAAGTTAAATTTGTGTGCTGCTTCATACATTCGATCACTGTTTTTAGTATCTTTACGTATATGGAGTTCTAAGGTCGAATTCCCTGAAAAATTGTGTGCAAATTATGGATCTGGTGGTGTAATGGAAGGATTTTAATACTCAGCAGAATTACTTCAACAAAATCAAAGGATGAAATGACAAGAAAATCATCTACAAAATAAACTGTTCCCAATGAAATAAACATTATAACTGATAAAGTGGCCACCCTCTTCATTTACGCCTGCATGAACATCTACTAGCTGTTTAATTCCATGATGTATCTCCGTTTTCATCAGTGTATGTGGATGATTGTGGATATACGCTCGATTAGGAAAGTCTTAAGATTTTGGATAGAGGGAATCCTAACAAGATCACAGAATTTTCAGAATCTTGACACTCAGACCAATCAGAAATCAGTAAATACATAAAAACCGCTTCAACTTGTTAACAAATTAAATATATCGGGGACAAATATGGGGTCGAGAATCAGATCAACGAGAGTAACAATCAAAATAACTATGTAAACAACGACAGGTTAAAGGTCATCAGTAACTATTCAAAATCAAGGTCAACAGGATTAGCCATCAATTGTATGTGGAAAAATTCAAGTACCTCACTTCTCGTGCTGTTACGGATTTGAGGGCTGGTGTCACTTCCCGGCTGTCCACACCGTGCAAGGGTATTTCTTGAGGAACCTGAAAAGGAATTTGGATTAATGTCGTCCTTAACGGCCTGGGGGCGTGATCGAAGAGCCCATGGGACAACTGCTTGAGGCCGGTCGCGTATGGCCTTTTTTGGGGAGATTTTTGACGTGTTAGCTCCGTTCTTCAAATGACCTTACCGCCGGAGACGGATATCCGTGAGGTAAGGTGAGGTGTGACATTTTTAGGGTCAACCTTTTCTAACTTCCTCCTTCCTTGTGAGAAGGCAGCATCGCTGTAGATGCTGGTTGTCCGAGGGAAACACCTTACTGCTGTCACACCCCTCTACAGTCAGCAGTACGACTTCGCCCTCAGACCTTAAGTTGCTGCTTTTAGTCTCACCATTCTCCAATCGACCTGCCTGGCATGGTAGAACCTACAGGTACATATGTTCCAGTCAATATAGTTCGGTTGGGTCATCACGATAGGCAAGCCCGACCACCGCTTCAAGGTAGCAGCTACGGTCGGGACCTCACTTCTACCGGAAGGTTGCGCTGATGATGATGTTTGGAAGAATAATCAAGGCTCCACGATTAAACACTCCAGCTCAGTGAACGAAACTCAACCACAGGTTATATAGTGTAAATGCTAAGATTACCAGCATACATAACATCAATATGAGTTGATTAGATGAAAAGCTTGACAATAAATTCGTTACACAAAGGATCCCTTGTCTGAAGTATATATACCTTTAGTATTCCTACAAAATACAAAATTATATCTTCATATATATTTATATATTTCATTATAGGAAGTATTGGCTCGTCAAGAAACAAAAGATGATACATACATATTATCCGTTTAACATTGAATTTATTCAAGTAATTTAATTTGTTCAGTTCATTTCAATGCATTAGGTATCTTAACAACGGTTATCATCATGATTTATCATATTTAATATTTTAAACATTTCATAAACAAATGAATTAATAAACTCCCTAAGAATTCACTATTATTTTTGCCTTCAAGTTGTATTATTTATTGGGCATTGGGTAAACTTAAATGAATCAAAACAATAATATAATCTCACTAGTTGAAATCATGAGTCAATTGAAGCTAGACTACCATGGAAAACCTGGAAGCAATAGACGGCCGTTTCATCTTAGTATGGGACTCCTCACAGTGCCCATCCACGAGAATAATATAATCTATTGATGAAATAAATCATTTCCTAAATTTAAATCACGATTTGGTTTTAGCTACATTATCTTTAAAAACCTGGAAGTATTAGACAACTGTTTCTTCTTAGTACAGGACTTCTTAATAGTGAGTAATCACAACACAGTGCTTCTTGATTTTTGATGTTGATCCCAATAAGATCAGTTCGTTATTTAAACTATGAAAAATCTACTATTTCCATAAATTCCCCCTACCCCGTACAAATAAATAATCCTTAGAGCCTAGGAATATTAAAATCAGAAGTTTCTAAGAAAAATATCAACCTTCGTTGTGTGAGACGAAAACCTTTGTAGAGTTTAGTTTTTTTAGTTTATAGGGTGTGATCAATATTGATGGGGTATAGACTGAATTCAGTGTATGTAGGTCAGTTTTTTTCCTACTTCAATCAATTGTATTGTTAATTCATTTAAAAAGATGATGATCTATTACGTAATCAATTACGCAAATATTCATGGTGGATAAGTAGAAAAACAGAGAAACTTAGTTCATAGGATGTAAGATTTCAGAATAAGCTTGTAAAAATTCCTTATATTACGATCTACTCCATTTCTTACACGAGTTTGGTAGCACTTCAGTTCAGTTTATTGGTAAAGCCATTTCTTCACTTCGTGTCTACACACTTGAGTAATAGGTTGGACTTGTATATAGGAATAATGCATATCATTATCTGAATCGGATGATCATCTAACGGAAGAATAAGAAAGACTAATACTGAAAAATTAGTCTACTTTTGTTTTACCGGAACGAAAAATAAATGAACTGGTCGACATTAATTATGGACTATTATTAAATATATTCCTATTGGATAATTATTAAGTGACTGGAATATATATACTTTTTATCATAAGCTTCCATTTGGCCTACTGGCTATTATTATACGATTTACTATTCTTAACTTATTCCCAGTTTATCAGTTACAGTATCCTACACTCACAGTTACTTTTGGCTTCATAAGGTCTGGTTTACTCATATATGGACCAAGTATATCTGAAATGTGATTCATGCAGCGGAAGCTGAGATTGTGATCTAAACTGAATGGGCTGGACTAGGCGAGAAGCTACTACATCAAGGACCAATAAGGACACAGAGTTGTTTCAAGACTGATGGTTCTGCTTAACGTGTCATTGGTTTAGCAAAGGAACAAAGTCATATGAACCAGTATTCTGATTGGTGACTATTTCACGTGATATTTGATGGGGCATAAGATAAAACAACTTTTAGCTTATTTACTTAAACGTTCTTTCCATTTAAAATTGTTACGTAAATGTCTATCTGCTTTTTGGGTCTGTATAGAAGTAAGAATCTTATCTGTTCATATATGATGATGTTTGTTAAGGAGTAAGTCTTATAGACTTGATCTGATCTTTACTTTTAACATAAAGTCGTACGACGCAATTTTGAATCGCATATTGATGTAGATGTTTGTTTTGGAAACAAAATTATCAGAGCTATTAACATTATTAGGCTTCTATACGGTTCTTATAAACGTACAGAGTACACATTATGTACATACTCCAAACTGAATAGTCTGTTTTTTCATTTGCACATATTTATATTTATATCCGACATTACGGAGTAAACCTTGTTTGTATAAAAGTAGTAAAATTGACTATAGAACATAGATACTACACCTACCATGTATATATCCTACATATAGAACAGTTGATCAACTAATATCTCATCCAATTAAGAGTAATTTTGGGAAGAACATTTAGTTAATAATATCTTTTCCCTATTCAGTATGCATTTGTAAATAATTTTTCAATTTTTTTTATATCCTACATGCAACCCTTTAATACTTAACTTAATTTAGGCGGTGATAAATTTCCAGTTAACAAATGTTATATTCTAAGCATAGATGGATAATAGCTAGCAGTGGAATCCAGAACGCACTGGATATACCTGCATACGGGGTGTAGGTACATCCAGCTGACCAGTCCCAAACAGGACAAAACGCGCGTCCTAAATTCCACTGCTAGCTACTATCCATCTTTGTCTGTAATGCTTGTGACTTAAGTCAATATCAGGGCAATCTGTACAGGATATACATATATCAATAAGAGACTAATTAATTGTAGTCCTAAAAACCGATGGGAAGATTCAAATGAACAATACAAAGTGTACTGAATATTATATTTCAACAGTTTAGATCATAGGTCAGTTGAAGCTAGACCACCATTGAAAACCTGGAAGCACTGGACGGCCGTTTCGTCCTATTGTGGGACTCCTCAACAGTGCACATCCACGACCTCGCCTCGCAGGACTAGAGCCCAGGACCTATCAGTCTCTCGCCAGGCGCTTAACCAACTAGACCACTGAGCCGGCATCCAATGGTGCTAATGTTTGACTTCAAACAATCCACGAAATTGAGCGACACATCCACCATTGTCATCATTCAGTTACTACCTCACCAGTGACCCGGTTGAACTCTACTGGTCACTGCTTCTCACTAGAACTCCAGGATATACCTCTTGAAGCCAGTCACTAGTGAGCAAATGTTAATTAGTATCAGAAGGGGTTTTGTGGAGATTGTAGTAATTTCAACAGTTGAGACTGACAGGTCTCGGGTTCGAATCCTGCGAGGCGGGATCGTGGATGAGCACTTCTGAGGAGTCCCACAATAGGACGAAACGGCCGTCCAGTGCTTCCAGGCTTTCCATGGTGGTCTAGCGTCAAATGATTCATGATCTCAACTGTTGAAATTACTACAATCTCCACAAAACCCCTTCTGAATATTATATTATTATTTGCAGTTATTTAATAGATATCCTTGTTGAAAATATTACTTAAAATGTTTGTTCCATTAAAAGATTATAAATAACATTCAAACAGTATATGATAAATTCAGTAATAAAGCTTGTGTAATGGATAGGAATAAAAAAACATCACTTCAAACAACTATGATTCTTTAATATGTAGAGCATAGTACAAAATAATTTAGTAAAGTATTTAGTTTATTTAAAGATGTTTTTCGATAATTTAATAAGAAAACAAAAATAATCAGAACCATGTGATGGTATATGAGTGCAATACATTTCGAACAATCTGATCACTCACATAATGTACTTGTTAAAAACATTTATATACAAAAATTAAAGGTCAACTAGACTAGAAATGGGGGTAAGAAATGCCAAGGGTAACAATAATAATAAGAGTAATAATAATAATAATAATAATAATAATAATGTGTGATCAGATTGTTCAAAATGTATTTCGCTAATATACCATCACATAGTTCTGATAATCTTCGTCTTCTTATTACACGATCGAAATTTATCAAAGGGATTAATTGCTTTAAAGATGTTTGTTTCGAAGATTTTCTACCAGAATAAATGTTGAGAAGATTTATGCATTATTCACTGTGTTTATTGTGTGTGAGTTTCGGGGTTTATAATCTTTCTAGAATTTAACTATTTAATCTGAATAAAGAAAATAATGAATATATCGATGGTATTTGTAGTGAATCGTATTTTCATCCGTGTGTGTCGAATTTCACATATTCGATCGTTTTGATGGTAAGAGTTTGAGTTCCTCCATGTTTTTAAGCTAATGTTTCATTCAATGTTTGTTTTTTCCCCTAATTACATTTTATTTACTCGTTAAATGAACATTTTGTTTCAAATACATTGTATATTCATGAATTCAAAAACTATCTTCACTTTCATATAGTTATACAATAACAATTATAGTTAAACGTTCATAGTTGTTCCTTGTCAAATATTACCATTGAACTTGGTAAGTCAATTCGAATCACTATGAATTGAAACTAATTCTATTTATTACAATTTACTGATGTAAATATACTTAACCATCTGGCTTTAGATGGTTGTACAATCGAATCACATGACTGACATACTCAGTAAAAATAAATGTGTTTGTTATATCTGTTATACTGACGGATGAACTAAGGAAGGTAAAAATGAATTTGTGGACAATGATAGGAAAATCGTTGACAATAAACAATCGATAGAACAAAATGTTAGCTACTCATGAAGAAGTTTTTTTGGATACTTCTTTCTGAAGTTTGTACTGAAAATGGTTTCTAGAAATTAAACTATTTAGCACAAAGAACTCAACTTCATCCAATTCTTCCCTATAAACTATAAATTTTCCCCCATTTTATTTGTGGTGTATTATCTTTGAGATGATTCCTTGGACTACTTATATCACTCGCCCTGATAACTATTATTGAATAAATCTCAACAGTGTATAAATTGCAGCAGGCAACACGAAGCACCGACTGCAGATTATTGTTGAATAACACAGATCACTAGGTCACAAGCACACCAAGAGAATTCGAGCAGAAATGTTAATGCGAGCGAGTGAATACATATGTGAATTAAGAATCGGATAAAGAATAGAATGAAAAGACCAATAAATGAATAAGATATAAATACACATAAATGAGAAAGCGAACGATTCATCGAGCGATTAAAGCAACTAACATTTAAACAAATTACATGGAATATGTGCGTAGGCTGTCACATGTGATCAAGCGTACATGTTCATACGGTCATGGTAATAATACCAAAATATACAAATTGTTACTGCACGAACAATACTATCTGTTAGATAAGTCTATTAAAGGACTTAACAAAATTAAACGTAAACAAATTGAAGTGTACGATGCGTGTTACATATTTCTCCTTGTACATCTAGATTGTATACATAAGCTTAGAAAAAATAAAATCCCTTTCAAAGATAATTTAATAGGGATAAAGCAACAACATATTATATATTTCAGTTATAAAATGAATAGAATTCATATACCCCAAA